TGTTCAGGCATGAACAGAGCTCCCATTTTTAAGCGGTCATTTGAAATGCCTAACAGTGTCCCAGAGTATTTCAGAGCCATCCTGCATCCCTGTGGAAATGTCTGTGTGGTTGGTGATTTACTGTGGTAGAGCCTGGGCTTTGTTGATACTGATGAGGTTCAGGTCTGTTCAGAGGGCTCTTGCTGCCTCACACTGGCACTGCTGAAGCTCCCTGTCCCCCCAGAATACAGACACTTGTGCCAGAGTGACCCTCCTGGGGCTTTCTGTCCCACCCCACATGGAGAGTGTTGGGGACACTTCCCAAAATACAGGCAGTTGGGGCAGTTCTCAGTTGGGCAGTCTGTGGGTGACCTCTACACCCAGGTGAACACTGGTGTGAACTTGCAGCTCTCCCTCAGCCACGGTGACTTCCAGATAGACTCTTTTCTGTTAAAAATGATACTCTCGGAGCCCCAACTGAACTGATACTCTGTCAAATACATCCCTGTGCTGGGACTTGCATATGGAATGGAAAAATAAAACAGTACTTGCAGTCATGGCACTATCACTCATTTTGGCACTGGTGAATGTTCAGTCACCTCACTTAAAAACTTCCCAAAGCAGCTGTGGTGCACTTCAAAAACTGGAATTTCACACTTCCCAGCTGCTTGTAGCCAACCAGAGCTTGTGCTTTGGGCTTCCCTGGGAAGTCAAGTGTTTCTACAGACCAAGGACTCACAGCAACTTGTGCTCTGAGTCGGCTGAAACAATTGAATCAGGTACTCCTGCAGAACTTGATTTCAGTAAAATGAGTTTAATCTGTTGTAGGTCACCAGCTCAGAGCCAAGGACCCAGAGCCTGAAGCTGGTGGTGGTTTCTGGCTCAGCCATCAGGGCAGCTTTTCCATTCGGGGAGAACTCGTCCTCTTGGGAGGTGATGAACTGTACATGCCAGGGTAGTACAGGGGCACCTTGATGTCTCTGTGCTTCAGCATGTGATAGAACTCCATCCGCTCGTCAGCAATTCTCTGGAAATCAGGGACACGTGAAGGGGTGGGAGTGCAGAGGTGGAGAGCAGCGCTGCAAGGTGTTCTCTCACCTCAGCAGTCCCTTCCTGGCTGCTGGAAGCTGAGTTTGGAAGAGCCACATACCTCCAATGCCTCCAGCACCTGCTCCTCCGTGAGCTCGGCGTGGGGGGGGTCCTGCCCCTCCACACTGAACGCAGCCTGGATTATTTTGCTTCGTAACCTGTCAAACTTGGGATAACAGAGGAAAGCAGGTGCATTTAGTCTGTATATATAATTCCTTGACATTTGCATGGATTTACAGAGACTGCACTGTCAGGCCTGGGCAAAGTACTGGTGAGTGATGAGATGGAAAGTGTTCATGAGAAATTCTGGGTGTTCTGGGTTTCTCTACAAGTGCTGTGGTCACGGTGTGGGTCTGGGTGGGCTGCGGCCCCTCCCCAGGCATCAGGCACGTCTGCCTGCAGGAAGTGGCTTTAAGGTGGTTCCTGTTCCTTGAGTCTGGAAGGATGTTAGAAATCTGGTGATGTGACTGTTCTGAACTCTAGTTTCTCAAGGGCTTCTGGTATTTGAGGCCTGTTGGCATTGTAAGTGGTAAAAGAGCTGCCTGCTGAACAACCGGGGAGCAAATGGACTGCGATTCCCAGGTGTGTCCCAAGAGGAAGGCAGGGCTCTGAGGTGAAAGAGGCTGTGTTTACCTTGCTGCTGATGCGTTCCAGTGCCACTTTGGTTTGCACCTCCTTGTGCTGCAGTGCCTCAACCTGGCTCTTGGTCTCCTCCTGGGCCTGTTTCTGCTCCTGGGCGTGGCGGCGGCTGGTCACAACCTCGATCCGGAGCCGTCTGATTGTCCCTTCTAACTCACTGATCTGCTCCTCCTGCTTAGCCAGCTGGGATTCCTGTTCTGTAACAACCTGAGCAGATGCAGAAATCCAGCTGTTACTGTGGGGAAGAAAGTGAGCAGGTTTGGCCTCATCTTCCCAGTATCTGGTCCAAATGCTTCTGGTATTTCCTGGGCAGAGTCTATGGACAAACAACCTCACCAGTATCCCGTAACTGTTATTACTTGGCATTTCCTCTAAAACTACTTGGATTGAGTAGAGGGATTAAATGCCAAACAAGCCCAGTGAAGCAGCAAATACCAGAATTTTCTCTGGTGGCTTTGCACCACATTCACCTGTCGAAGGCTGTCATTCTCCTCCTCCATCATCACCATTGCTTCTTCCTTCCTCTGTTCCTCTGTAAGGCTGCAAAACTGAAGGCAGAATATTTTACACTTTTCGTTTCACAGTTACAAGTGCCCCTCCTGCCTATGAGAGAGGGAACTGCTGTGTAAATCCCAAATTCCCAGCTGCCAACTCTCCTGCCAGCCATGGCCACTCGGCCTGTACCTTGTCAGACATGGCTTGGAGCTGCTCTTCTCGCTCTCTGAGCTGCTTCTGAAGCATTTCGTTCTCGTATCTGAATCTCCGAAGCTCAGATTCTTGGATCTCCAGTTGTCTTTGCAAGGAAGAGATGGCACCTGTGGAGTGGGAGTGCTGTGTTAGACCAAAAGCTCTGTGCCTCCTTAGGTGAACATGAGCAAAGCCATGGTCTGGGAGTAGACACTGTGGGCCACATGAATGCTGCAGCCACAGTGACACTGGGTGATAATGTGGTTTGTGGTGCTTTGTGGGTTTGTTCAGCCTGGAAAAGAAAAGGCTTTGGGGTGACCGTGGCCTTCCAGTACCTGAAGGGAGCTACAAGAAAGGTGTAGAGAGACCTCTCTCAATGGCCTGGAGTGGCAGGACAAGGGTGAATGGCTTCAAAGTGACAGAGAGCAAGCTCAGATTAGATACTGGGAAAAAATTATTCCCTGTGAGGGTGGTCAGGCCCTGGCACAGGTTGCCCAGAGAAGCTGTGGCTGCCCCATCCCTGGAAGTGTCCAAGGCCAGGTTGGACAGGGCTTGGAGCAACCTGGGCTAGTGGAATGTGCCCCTGCCCATGGCAGGGGGGTGGAACTGGATGAGTGGCTCTCTCTGGTGGGGTTTCTCACGTTCTTCACTTCGAGAGGAGTGTTTCCAAAAGAGGTGGCAATTTCAGCCTTGCTCTGTGAGCAACACCCTGCGATGTTCTCAGGGTCAGAGGAGCCGAGACACCCGATGAGCTGGGCACGGGAGGGTTGTTCTGGGCACCTTCCCCGGTACCTGTGGCCATGTTGTGGTCATCCTTGGCTCTCCGCAGCTCCTCCCGGAGCTGGTCCAGGGTCTGCGTGGGCTCTGGCCCCTGCGAGGCAGCAGCGGCTTCCCCGTCCATCGCCCGGGGCCTCCCGGCAGGTCCCGACGGGCTTTGGAGCGGGTTTGGAGCGGGTTTGGAGCGGGTTTGGAGCGGGGCCGCTGCCCGGCAACGGCGCGGGCCGGGCGGTGTTTTCCGCTTCCGAGTGCCCGCCCGGCCCCGGGCGGGGGAGAAGCGGCTCTGGGACTGCGGGGCCGCGTTCCCCGGCCTTGGAGCCGCCGTCCTGCCCCTCCTGCCCGTGCGGGTGCGCCGGGAGCGCATCCCGGGAGCGCATCCCGAGCGCCGGAGCTGCGCTGGGACCGCGGGAGCGCCGGTCCCCGAGCGGACACACGGACACACGGACAGACGGAGCGGAGCCGCACCGAGCACCCCTCGGGCTTGTCCCACCCTTCCTCTGCCGGCCCGACCCTCCCCTGCCTCCCCCAGCCCATCCCTGTCTCACCCGACCCCCTCCCTGCGGGTTGGAACGAGATGAGCTTTGAGGTCCCTTCCAGCCCACACCGTTCTGCGATTCCAGGATTCCTTTGGAGCACAGAGCCCAGCAGAAGGCAGAGCCTCCAGCCACGGGCCAGCCGGGGGCTTTCCAGGAGCTTTGTCACGGTGAGGAGCTCTCTGCAGGTGGGTGGCTCTGCCTGTTCCCCTGTGGCTCTCACAGGCGGGTTCTTGATGTGTTTTGAAAGCTTTTTGATGGTGTTTTTATTGTATTACAACAACATTCTTGCCTTCTTCAGTTTCAGAGTGTTCGTTTATAAACAACAGTTTAGTTCCATCAGTTTCCAGTTCCTGCCTGTGGAATATACATTCCTAAAACTGGAAGTGGTGGTGACATTTGTAACTTAATTTCCTTTGGGAAATTGTTTTTAACAGTAATTTTTCAAACTCAGAAAAGCGATGTCTTAATGCTTGTTATCCACCTCATTCGCTGTTTTTTAGTAATTTATTGAGAAAAAAAAAGTTTTATATATCCAGAAGCCACCTCTTGCCTCTCTGTACTCACTGTAGCAGTTTATTACTCACAGGTGGGTTTCTTTTTGGTTTCAGCAGCTTTAGGCCCTTTGAGGTCCTACAGGCGAAGGTTTATGTGGGTTAGGAGGGCACTTTCTGTACAATTTTAATTGCCAGATGCAGCAATTCCCACATGTGCTTTTATTGTGTTACCAAAAGAAACCCAAACCCAAACCAAACAAAAAACAACCAACAAACCACAAAAGAAAAACCACAGCTGTAAAAATAACACATTTTCCAAAGGTAACATTACAAAAAGTACCATTCCTGCCATGGAGTGATCCATTAATACTGCTGGGAACAGCCCCTGTTAATGCTGGAAATGTGAGTGGTTGCTGCAGAAGCTTTAAAGCATTGAAGTGCTTTATTGAGCTGTTACCTGGGGACACACATTCACACATCAGCCACAGCCAAGGGAGTTGGGTTCCAGTCCCAAAGGAGTCTGTTCCCAGTCCCTGTGGTCTGAGGGGTGGGATAGCTTCAGGGACAGTGGCTCTGCACGTGTGGCTCACCCATCTCTGGAGTGGGAAGGACAGGAGGGAGAGGAGGCCACCCCTGCGTGCTGAGGGCTTGGAGCTGCTGTGGGACACCAGGACAGGGCACTGGAGAGGGGACCTGGGCCCAGGGCTCCAGCACTCACAGCCGTGTTCCCCCTGGAGAGGGAACAGACAGTGCCTTCCTGCAGGAGAAGGTGCATCCCGGGGGAGCCCTGAATGTCATAGGTGGGGCTCGAGCTCTTGTTTTGTTCCTGCTTAGAGAGTCCAGGGCTTCGGGAAGGGTCTGCAGCCCCTTCCCCAGCCTGGGGAGGTGGGAAGCAGGTGTAGGGCTGCCTTTGGAGGCCTCCACAGGCAGTGGGAAGGTGCCAGGAACATCGTTTCTGTGTGGGTTCCCTCAGCCTGGCCAAAATCTCGAGTGACCCAGGGCTGAGGGGGCAGATGCAGCAGCTCCCTGTCCACCCGTGCTCCCTCCCACAGCAGGAGCTCCTGTGACTTCCTGGGCCTTTCTGAGACCTGCTGTGGGACATTGCCTTCCCAGATGTGTAGGGAATTAGCATTCAGGGAGGGAACACACCTACCCTGTGTGTCCTTGCTTTCTGTGCAGGTTTTTTTGCCAGCCCAAATCACGGGAGAAATTACAGCTGGGAAAAGTGACCAGGAACAGAACAGAGCTGGTCACCCAGACCATTGCTGTGCTCCAGGACAGGATGGAATTTACGCTGCCTGCATTCTGGCTCACCAGGTCTGACCTGTCTGCGAAACTCTCCAACAGAGCAGGGAGGGATAATCCAGACCTCTGACTTCCCAGGACAATCACTGGCTTTCTCCCTCCTCTGCAATTGCGTGAAAGATTCAGAGGAGAAAAAATTGGATTTTAAATAGATAAGGCTGGAAACAGGATTTTCTGCATTTTTACATGCTACAACATGAAATTAATTTACTTGACACTGTGGTGTCTCAGGAGTCAGTATCAATTTTTATAGCTTACATGAAAATAAATCTTTCTCTCTCCTTACAGCACAATGAGTTTACTGTATGTACATTTGCTGCTGTTTATATACACCAATATTTAGGTACAAGAACACATCAGGAACAGACAAACAGGTTCTTTCCAGCTCTAGAGAGGGCTGAGGGTAGGGTTTGGCAGTCTGTCGGGAAAGCAGGATGTGGCTTCGCACCAGTCCTGACGATGCCTGCACAGGTGAGGGCTGAGTCTGTGCTGCAGTGACAAAGCCCTGTGGGTTTGGGACACCCCAGGGAACACAGACAGGGTCAGTGAGCAGGGATGAGAAAAACGTGCTGTCCTTACACCACGTCTGTGGGATGCAGGGATGCTCCAGGAAAACACAGACCAGATGATGCCTCCCGTGCCACGGGCAGGCGGAAATCCCACTCCAGCTGCTGAGCTGGCTCGGTTGCCCTCCTCCTCCTCCTCTTCCTCCTCCTCCTCCTCACCTCGGCCGAAGCTACCGCAGTTTCCTCCCCGGGGCAGGCGCCTCCCGCCCGGCTCAGGGCCCGCAGTTCCCCTCGGACAACAAAATGACCCTTCTCCAGGCGCCCGAGGCTGCAAACACATTTCATGGGGGGCTCGGCTCCCCCCTGGTCTCTCGCTGCCGCCTCCGGAGCCGCTCAGTTGATCTCTCCCTCCGTGAATTCCTCCTTTATGGACTGTTTGCGGGATTTGCAGTCCGGGAGGTCGAAGCCGAAGTCGGCCCAGTCGTCGGCGTTGCCGCGGTTGGGGATGGTGATGGTGTGGCGCACGCGGAAGTGCACGGCCTCCATCACCCGCTGCCGCTGCAGCTCCCCGGAGCTGCCGATGGAGATGGTGGAGGCGTTGCTGCTGGAGCGGATCAGCTGCTGGGCCCCGTAGTCGTGGCTCTGCTTGAGCTCCTGCAGACCCCGCCAGATGATCATCCTGTACTGCTCCGGGATCTTCAGTGCTCCGAGATCCTGGAAGGACAGCAGTGCTGAGGCACAGCCGGGACTGTACCAGCGGGACCGAGCCCTGCACCCCCCGGTCATGCTCTGGGGGCACATGGGCTCGAGGCCTGAGCGCCCAATGGGGCAGGGCTGGACCTCCCCCAGGTCACAACAGCAAGGCCGTGGGTGCATCATCCCCCAGGTGATTCCTCTTTTGTAACCCAGTTACTCAGCCACAGCGTTGCAGGTCAGAGATGTGTTTTGGGAGGGGTTCACATCAAACTGATGTGGAAATGAGAGGAAGGACAGGGAGGGGACCATTGCCCTCAGACACAGGTTCAGAGCAGCATGTGAAGCATCCTCGTGCCTGTTCCCCTGGGCTTCTGCTCCAGCCCTGGCCCGGGAGGCTGGAGCAGCACCTGCCCCCTACACCAGGGTGGTGACAGGGGCTGTCCCAGCACCACAGGCCGAGCTCACACAGCCGGGCGAGGTGGGTGACCTCCCACTGGGGCCCTGGGCCAGGACGGGCACGGGCACAGCGGGGACCTGCCAGGGATCCACATTAATGCCAACACAGAGACTCGGGGGAGTGTTACTGGAGCAGACAGTGAGTATGCAATTAGTAGCTACAAACGCCGACTCGGACACAAAGCTCAGCGCCCTGACACGAGTTTTGGCCATTCCAAACATTTCCTTGGACAGCTGACAGATGGTCACGGAGTTAGTTCAGCAAATGGTCCAAAACCAGGCTCAGGTTACGCAACTGGCCCCAGCTACCAGTGACAAATCATCATCTCTCCCACGGGTGTAGCTGCCAGGTGGAGATGCTGCTACACCTGCCTGGGGCAAAATGGGGTTGGGCAGGGGCTCTGTCTCAGCCAAAACACCAACTCTGGGATGTATGGGGTTTGCCATGGCTCAAAGGGTTTAGGATTATTTGTTTTCCTTCTTCTCATTCCCCTGACAGGCTGGGGAAGCCCCAGCTCTGGTGCCACCCAGGTACTGGCACCGCTGTGTGGCAGCAGCAGAGGCTGAATGCTCTGGGGCACACACAGGTACTTCCAGCATCCCCTCTGTTTTTCCTGCCAGCTTTTGCCTGATCTTGGCTATTTCATTCCTGGCTTCCCTTGTTATGAATGCCCTGGGCTCAACTCCCTTATTTCAGCCTCTTTTGTCTTAAAGATTAACAGGAGAAGAGGTGAGATCAGATTAAACCTCCCTGGGCTGCAGTGGGGTGTTCCTGCTGGCTCTGTGGGATTTGGGGTGTTCCACTGAGCACCTCAGATGTATTTTCTGTGTTAGGTGGAAAAATCTCCCTGAGCTCTGGCCTGGGGATCTTTAATCTCTCTTGTTTCTGACAGTCTTGAGGAACTAGCTGAGATTTGTGGTTTTCATCAAGGCCTGAGATGCTGCAAGGCTGCCGGAGTGGGAGGCAGCAATCCTGGGGAGCAATCCTGGGAGCAATCCTGGGAGCACACATTTTCTGTGAGGGGCTGGGGCACAGGATTCCCTTCCCTTAAAACACTTTTGGTTTTGCTTTTCAGACCAACAGCTGCTGGAAACAAGTGGTAAGAACAGATCTTCCCAAAACATTTACCTCTATGGATAGGTTCTGCAGGTGGTAAATATTCTGTAACCCTTGTGAGGTGAAATAGTCGATGCAGTTTGGACACCCCAATCCTGTTAAAAAACTGCAGAAAAAGTTTGGAAAATAAAGTGGCATTAACTTCTCATGAACAACAGCTGTGCTGGAAACCATCACTGTGGGACAGACCGTGTCAGGCCATGGAGGAGTGGGGGGACACGGAGAGCTCCACGGGTGGGACCTCCACTGCCACTGAGGTCAAAGGGAAGTGTGGGATTATGTTCATTCCTAAAGCTACATATGTTTTTCTCCTGATTTCAGAGGTTTTGGCTAAGGAACTTACTCAGAATAATGTGAGGGAGCTCAAGCTACTGGGGAGGGGTGTCAGGACATGCCCTGGGCTGAGCAGCACAGCCAGGCTCTGCCCCAAGTGGATGCTGGTGCAGAAACATCTGTGGTCTTTTTAAAGACCAAAACATTAAAAAGCTGCAGAGCTGTGAATGCATTCCTGATGGGAATAGTCCACGAGGACCCATTTCCAGGCATTGCTGGAAGGAAGGGGAAGGGGGAAGCTCACAAGGCTACGTGCCATTGGACGTGTAGGACAAGACCCTTGTCTGGATGCATTTAATTTCTGACTAATCAGGGAAGGGTTCCCATGGGGGTGTCTGAGGGCAGTGGGGCTTTCTGACTGGTCGGTAGCTGGGCTTTGGTTGCTGAGCTGAGAGGAACAGTCTGTGTGATTGGGAGCAGTGATTTCTCAGTTGGGGCCGGTGGCCAGTTGACCAGTTGCCAGGCAGATGGGAAGGTTAGAGCGAGGGACACAGCAAAGAACGGCAGAGGACAAGACAGGCAGGGCCCCGGGTGCCCTCCCTACCTGACGAGGCTGGGGTCGGGGTTGTAGGGCGGTGGGGGGGTGCAGTGGGACCCCGACACCATGGACTGGGATGAGTGGCCCCCGTTCATTTCCCCGTTGGGTTGCATGGGATGGCTGTTCAGCATTCCAGGTCCTGGCAGGGACAACAAACGGACCTGTTAGACACCCCCTGCCATGATCCCCCCCTGCCTGGGAGGGAGAGCCCCTGTGCTGGGACTGGCCAGGGGAGCACGTACCCATGGGGCCCAGGCTGGGTGCAGTGCCAGGGCCGTGCTGTGCTGGCTGCCCCACCAGCTGGTTCACAGAGGGCAGCTTGTTGATCCCTGCGCTGTGGACTTTGTTCATGGGGGAGAGGACGGGTCCGTAGGAGGAAGGTGTCTGCAGCTGGCTCCTGTGCAGGGAGGGCACGTGCTGCTCAGCCTGGGCCGGGGGATGGAGCTGCCCTGCCGCAGCCTGCAGCTCCCCTCCAGCCCATCAGACCTCCCTGCCGAGGCTCCCTGCCCCTCCCTGGGGCTGTGGGGTCTCAGGGGCTGCAGCAGGACTTACTGCCTCTGCAGGAGCTGCTGCTGCTGCTGCCGGTAGGAATCGACCAGCTGCTGCGGGACCAGCTCCACCAGCTCCAGGCTCTCCTTTATCTTCATCAGGATCTCAAAGTTCTCCCGGCCCCGAACCTGGAGGAGGGAACAAGCCCAGGATTTTGCTGTATTCCTGTCCCACCTGGCCAATTCCTCGTGGTCACGTTTTTCCACCCAGATATGCAAAGTGCACTGTCACTGTGGCCAGAGACTGCTCAGGATCCAGCAATCCCTTGAACACGTGCATCCATGGATGCTTTTGCTCCTGTTTCCTGGGTTTCTGCCCAGCTCTGCTGCCCTGTGGGAGCCTGTGCATCCCTGACCTGCCTGACATCCCCCCAAGGTGCTGCTGGCAGAGGGGACAGTGCCACCACTGTCCCCAGCTGAGCTCTGACCCTGTGCAGCTCACCCACACTTACAGGCACGTAGTACATCTCCTCCTCCCCGTGCCTCCGTTTCTTGATGCTGGTCCCCAGCGCTGGGATGCTCTGGGGGCTCTGCTTGAACGCTGGAAGGGAGAGGGGATGAGTGTTGGCAGGGTCCTGGGAGGCAGGGCATGGTGGGGAGCACTGGGCTCGAGCCATGCAGGATGCTAAAGCCATTCCCCTGGGGCTTGACATTGGAGTGTCCCTTTGTTACTAACAATAATGAATAAATATTTCTGGCCATGAGAGCCCTGCACGGGCAGCTTTGGGCTCTGCAGGGAGAGGGGAGGGGTCCGACTTATAAGACTGGAGATTTAGTGGAGAAAGGTCAAAGCATCATGCCTGGGTGTGGATTGGAGCCCGACCTTGAGGTGTGCAGGGGTTTGGGGTGCCCTGAGGGACTCACTGCGCTTGTTGGCGTTGCCGTTCTTGGCCGCGCTCTCGTTCAGCGCCTGCTGCTCCCGGAAATGATCCTCATCGGCCTTCCGGTCCCTGCCGGGGCAGGCACAGATCCGTCCCTCGAAGGATCTCCTGCCCAGGACCTGGCCACTGGGAGAACAGAGCAATCAGTGACCCTGTTTCCCCTTGGGAAGTTGGTTGTGGCTCAGTCCAGCTCAGAAACCAGACCAGCAGTGTCGTCCCATCCCTCTGTGGGAAGGGATCCTCAGGCATGGATGGAGGCCCTCAGCAGCGGGCTCCTGGGGAAGAGGAGCTCCTGGGACAGAGGAAGGCTCCAGCTGCAGGGGAGAAGCCAACTGAGGGCTGGGTCTCTGGTCCCTCCATGCCAGCCTTTTCTGGGCTGGTAGAGGAGAACATTCCCATGCCATGGGCTGGGGCTGTCACATCCCCTTCCCTGGGGGTGCTCCCTGCAGGGGAGGGTTCCTTCCCAAGGGCCCCCAGCCCTCCCGCAGCAGGAGGGACACCCACCCCTGCTCCCACAGCCACTCACTCTCTCGTCTCCAGGGTGATGATGATGAGGATGGGCCTCCTGTTCATCCCTCCCACGCAGCTGCTGTTGCACATGAAGTTGTACAGGATGGTGGTGAACTCGGTCCCCACCTGCCCGGGAGGGGAGAGCAGGAGCTGAGCGGGGAGTGACGGGGGAGGCAGGCAGGGACACTCTGGGGAGCGAAGAACTGGAGGGGAGGAAGCAGGCTTGTCTCCCCCAGGGAGCAAAGACGAGGGGCACAGGGTACAGGGCTGGCACCTTGGCAGGGCAGCACCAGGGAAGGGGGGTGTGGGGACAGTCCCAGTTGGAACAGGGGACTGTACGAGGACTGTGGGGTCCTGCCCAGCAGGACTAGAGGGGGTGTCCCTTTGCTCCCCTCATCCCTGGCTCAGGCTGCTCTGGGATGCTTCACAGGACTGGGAGATGCAGATGCTGAATGCAGCTGCCACCGGTGTCGGGGGGAGAGCAGGGGTGGCCTTAGGTGTGCCAGGGCAAGGGGACACTCTGGCCTCGTGTGTCCTGCCAAGCAGCCCTGTCCCCGTGGGTTCACCCACAGTGCTGGCACGAGCCCGTCCGGAGGCAGAGGCCGGTCCTGCCCCCTCCCCAGCAGCCGGGTACCTGCGGGGGCTCGTAGGGCACCATCACGCTCTGCCGGCCCGTCACCGGGTCGTCCACGTACTGCGAGAGGTTGTTGCCTTCCACCCGGATGAGGTGGCTGGCAGGGGCTGACTGGCCTGCAAGGCAAACCTCTGGTTAGAGATGTGGCTGCCCAGGATGCCCATCCTGTGCCCACGAGGGCTGTGGCACAGGGGGGTGGGTGGCTCCCGGGCCTGGGGAGGGTGGAACTCACCGTCGTTGAAGTCGCGGCCGAGCTCGTGGTTGGGGCAGCGTTTCACCACCTCGGTGACGTGCTCTGCCTTCTTGTACACGGGCATGGCCCGGATGATGGTGCCCGGGGGCGGCGGCGTGGACACCTTGATCTGGATGGGGCATGTCTTGGCGATCTGACAGTAGAGCTTCTTCAGCAGGGGGGAGTACTGGGAAACAGGAGACACCCGTCAGGAGAGCGTCACTGAGGGGACAGCGGATGCTCCCCTGCCCGCCCTTGGCTTCCTCCACTGTGGTGTAAACACAGGGCTCCCTTCTCTTCCCTTTCCCCTGGAAATACTGAAATCTGACCCATTTCACCCACACTGTGTGGTATCCACTTTCCATGTGAAGCAGATGCAGCCACCTCGTTCAGGTGTCATTCAGCCCATTCTGAAACACTTCCCTGAGTCTGTTCTCACAGCAGGCTTGTGGCTGAGTGGAGAGCTGGGAGCACCAAGGGCTGGGAACACCACAGCCCGAGGAAATCGTGCTTAATGTCATTAAAAGTGTCATGGCTAATTATACAGGACCTGGGAGTTTAATTCTGGCACAGACAGATCTGTCCTGACCCCAGCTTGATCCTTTGCAGCAGCAGTGGCTCGTGGAGGGGACATGGTGGGGACATAATGGGGACACGACCACTGCCCGGGGTGGCCGTGGGAGGAGGATGCTCTGCAGCCACTTCTGCATTGAAAACAGTTTCTGGCCACCAAATTCCTCCCTATGAGGGCACAAATGGGTTTGCTCAGTGGCAAACTCCTCTCACAAAGACCTTGAACGGGGGCAGCTCCTGGGCCTGCAGCTTGAGCTGCTCCAGAGCAGGGCTGTGGAAGGAGAACATGTCCTTCACCTTCCAGGAACTACCCGGGCTCCCAGGTGTGGGGATGTGCAACTCCCTCCCCTCTGAGCCGTGCCATGCTGTTTTCCATCTCGCAAGGAATGTGTTTGCTACACACGAGCCCACCCCTGCGCCCGTCCCTGCATGGCAGGGCATGTTCCTGCTCAAGGTATTTTATCTCATCCCCACAACACAGTGCCTGCTGCCAAAAAAATACCACCGTGCAGAGTATTTGTGGGGATGTTAAAGCTTGTCCTGAGCCATCCAAATACAGGTGTGCCGAGGGGAGCGAGGCTGCAGCTCTGCTCTGCTCTCCTGGTGCAGGGGGATTCCTGAGCTCGGGCTGCCCAAAACAGGGGGCTCAGCAGCTGCTCAAATGGGTCTGGGAGCAGATTCAGGGGCTGACATGAATGGCCCAGTCCCCACTTTTCCTGGCCATGAGTGTGTTTCAGTGCAGCTGTGGATCAGGCAGGAAGGATCTGTGTCTCCCTGCCCTGCTGCCCCGGCTGCAGGATTGGAGCCATCTGTGCCTGAGTGAGGTGCTCCCACCACCTCAGGGACTGAGACAGGGGCAAAGGAGATAAACCATTTCCAGGTTTGTCTCATTGAGGTGGTCTCCAGGAGAGTTCTGGGAAGACATAAAAGGCACAGGCTCTCCCAAGGCAAACAGCAGCAGCAGTTCCTGCAGTGTGGGGATGTGTTGGGTCAGGCTGGCAGCAGGTACCAGGTCCTGGAGGCACAACAGTGAAGTGTCCTGGGGTTAGAGCCTGCTCAGCACTGGGGAGAGCAGCACGATGCTGTGGTCCCTGGAGGGTGTGACCAGGAGGGAGCAAGAGTTAACCCTCCTTTGTGGAGGTACATGGACTCACCCAGCAGGAGAGGGGACCTTGGAAACACCACCCGCTACTGGAATGGCCAAGTTCTGCACTGACACTGGATAACGCTGACTGCACAGCCAGGTTAGCTCCCAGCTCTGATCCCACATCCCCAGCAGGGATCAGGCCCACAGGCTCCACTGGGAATGCAGTGATTCCCCCTGCCCTGCTGGAGATGAAGCTCCCACGTGGCTGTGGCCCATGGAACCCACTTGCCCACCACAATGGGGTTTAATGCCCTCTGTTTGAGGAGCCACCATGGCAAAACAAGGGTTATTTGGAGGGGGCTCTCCCTTGCCAGGTGTTAAAATACTGACAACTCCTGTCAAAGGATCCTTTCATGTAGACATTCCCGGGCAGCCCTCAACATGCCTGGGAACTATAACTGCTCTGGAAGAGCAGAGGTGCATTATGGCAAGTTCTTTGGTAACAAATTCTCTCGTTATACCATGTTATGACATGGATAAATCTCAGTTAAATAGCAGAGCAATTCCCTGCGGGGGGAAGGTGCAGGCATGTCTCCACTGATAACCTTATCGTGTCCCAACAGCTCCGGGATCGCCTTCAAAGATCCCTCCACTCTAACAAACCATTCTTTTAAGGAACTCTGTGCTGATAATCCTGGGCAGGAAAAGTCTGGGCTGTGCCCTGGGCGGCCGCGCTCCCGACTCCTCACAGTGTGGAGCCTTCCTGTGCTGGGTCTGCCACCACTGCTGTGGCTCAGCACTGCCAGTGCCACAGACCCAGCCTGGCCATGGCCACCAGGAGAACCAGCATTGTCTGTTTGGGATCCCAGGAGGCTCTACATCCCCAGCTGTGCTTCCAGCCAGGAATAGCCCTTGGCAATGCACCCTCTCCATAGGGGACAGCCAAATCTGCACTGAGCAAGGTTCCACGGAGCAGCCACCTCTCTCCTCCTCGTTATCTGTACTTGCTAATTATCTGCCCCTTGCCCATCTCTGTGCCAGGCTGTGCTGCATCACCTGAGGCCCTGGTACCTCCCAGCACAGCCGCAAGGAGCACAGGCACTGCACAGTCCTCAGCTTCAGGATGAGACAGCGGCAGAGCAGGAACCAGAGATCAAAACACCAGGATTTAATCACAGGCCAGTGCAGCCTCCTCACTGCTTTGGCTCTTGGTTTGCCATGGCTACATTTGTGCCACCTGCACCGGCGGAACCTCGTGCTGTTCACTCACATCCTCCCCATTCCACAGCACTTGGACAAACTGACCTCTCGAGACTGGCCACGCTGGCTCACAAAGCTCAGGTCACTCACTCTGCTGCCAACTCGCTACCGGGCACAGGAACAACATCTTGGGACACCTGGACACCTTCCTGGCACATCCAGACCTCAGGAGCAGGACTCCTTTCACACCCATAGAGGAGCCTGGGTATGTTCTGCCCTGGGTACCTCCTGCCTGGGTTTTCAGTCCCTGCTCTGCCCTGGGAGCTGCTGATGTCTGACTCCACACTTGTGTTAGTACCAAGGTCATCTCTGTTCCTGGAAAACATCAGAGTGCCTGTTATTGTGTGTTTGAGGAGCACAACAGGTTTCTGTGGCTTGTGGCTGCTGGGTTGCTCCAACCAGCACAGAGCAGCAGCAGTGCTGACAGGCTCCCTGAAGCCTATGGAAACACACAGAACCTGTATTCCTCTGGGATTTCCTGCAGCTTCCAGTGTCACCCTCAGCTGCTTGGCTGACACCATAATGCCAGCTCCATCTCCATCCATTCCCTGCTGCTGCTGCCCATCCTGCAGAACACTAGGAATAACTGGAAAAGCCAAGTTATCTAAACCCTAGCACTATATCAGCACTGAGTTCTTTCCCTAAGGGCTTGGTAACACAAAGGGTCTTTGGATGTGTTTGAGATGTGGCTGCTTCTTTGGTGAGATGAGACCTCAGTGCACCAGTGCCAGGTGTAACAGGACACAAATCCAGCTGAGGGACAGAGCCCTTGGTGCCATTGGCTGCTGTGAGGCTTTACCATGGTTATCTTGGTTTCTTGTGCTCTGCACAGCACAGGATCCCGATGAGCCAATACCCCACAAAGGCCTGTGGATGCAGCGCTGACGTGGAGCCTCAGCATCCGCTGCTGCCCACCCTGATCAAGGACCAGGACCCGCTCCAGAGGCCACTGCTCAGCCCTGGGGCTGCCTCCCCATGCAGGAAGAGGTGGTTTTCCCCATGGATGATGACAGCCTTGCACAAAAAACAGCCTGAATCCTCTGCCTGGACAGACCTCCCGGCGCAGTCCATCTCGCCCGGCCCTGCGCGGGCAGCAGAACCGCTAGGAGGATGTGTCCCAACAGATTCGGAGCTGATAAAATCTTATTTATCTTCAACTGTTGACACTGAAGCGTCTAGACTTGCCTGTTCGGGAGGCAGCCAAGGCCTCCTTTCCCTCTTGAAGGAAATGATTTGCTCAACAATTACTTTTTCCACAAATCCTCCCCCCCTCCTCCCTACCAGCCTCCTCCTCTCCTACATTCCAGTCTCCTCATTAGCTCTACTCAGGACGTGTCCGGGGCTGCAGTCAATGGATCCCAATAAAGCCACTGGCCTGGCAAGGGGGAGAGAAGAAAAGTGCTGCCTCCGGCTGCTAATTTCCTTGTGCTCCCCAGCAAGCAGCTGCGGAGCTGCATCCTGGGACAGGTTCGGACAGATCGCAGCCCAGAGGTGATAATAACGTGTCTGTCATCTTCCCCAGGCGTGTAGCATCTTGCAAACCGCAAATACCGTTAACCGGCTCGGACGAATCTGTTACGGCAGATCCTGGAGGACGTGCCGACTGCAGAGCTAATTCTTTTTCTGTCTAATTTTTTTTAATAACCATTTTTTAATCACCGGCCTGTAAACTCCTCACTGAGCTGGAAATTCCTCCCCAAAGCTACTTTGTTGCTCATTTACTATGAGCTGGGTTTGAAGATGTCCAGCGCACCGATGATGCTCAAGAGGAGAGGAGAGTGTCCAGCGGGGCCTGAGGTACCTGTCCAGCACACAGGTGTGCTGGGAAGGGCAGGCACTGCCCTGGGCATGGCTGTAAGGGGTGCCCTGGTACCTGTGTCCCTGCCTCTCCAGCTCCTGCACCACAGCAGGGATGGATCAGGGATGCTGTAAGGGATGCTCCAACACCCACCTCCCTGTGCCTGTGGTCCCTACATCATGGCAGTGATGCACTGGGGTGACACCAAGTCACCACCAACTGTGCTCAGGACACGGGGTCTCAGCAGAGTCCCCTGCTCCCCCCAGCCATCATCAGCTGCAGGGGACCCCCATCACCCTCAGGTCCCCCAGATCACTGAGGTCCTGGGGCCAGAGCTGCCCCCCAGCAGAGCAGCACAGGGAGGCTGCCTGTGCTCCAGCCTGCATCCTTCTACCTTAATTAGCATGTCACAACTGCTAATTAAAATCCCTTGCTTCACCCCCAAAGGAGTCCTCTCCCTGCCTTCGCC